AAATTTTGCAATTTTCAGAAATTTTCATTATTTTCAGGGATTTTTGCAATTTTTGCTATTTCTGCAATTTTCAGAAATTTTTGCGATTCTTGCAATTTTCAGGCATTTTTGCGATTCAGGAATTTTTAGGAATTTTTACAATTTTTTATTTTTGCAATTATTGCAATTTTCAGGAAACTTTGCAATTTTGGCAATTTTCAGGCATTTTTGCGATTTTTGCAATTTTCAGGAATTTTTGCGATTTTTGCAATTTTTAGTTTTCAGGAATTTTTGAAATTTTTGCAATTTTCAGGCATTTTTGCGATTTTTGCAATTTTCACAGTTTTCAGGAATTTTTCCAATTTACAGGAATTTTTGCAATTTCTGATATTCTGCGAAAATGCTTGAAAATTGCAAAATTGCAAAAATGGCAAAAAATTCCTGAAAATTGCAAAAATTCCTAAAAATGCCTGAAAATTGCAAAAATCGCAAATGCCTGAAAATTGCAAAAACTGCAAAAATTCCTGAAAATTGCAAATATTGCAAAAATTCCTGAAAATTGCAGAAATAGCAATAATTGCAAAAATTCCTGGAAATTAGTAAAATTCCTGAAAATGGCAAAAATTCCTAAAAATTGCAAAAATTGCATTTTTCAGGCATTTTTGCGATTTTTGCAATTTTCAGGAATTTCTTCTTCGCTTTCATTGTCAATATGAGCACTCCGGTAGGCTACTACGTATCCATTTTCCAAAATTTCCCGATTTTCACCACAGATTCGTTCATTTCGACATCAAATAAGTCTATTTGAATTTTTTCAGATTTTTAATAGGCCAAATTAAAATTTTCATTTTCGTACCTGAGACTTCAGTACGATATAGTCACCGAGCTATCTTCGGACGGTTGAAAGTGCCGGAAAACGGGGGAAATTCACGGGAATTATTGCTTTCCCAGTAGAAAATGACACGCTGAATCGAATGAGACCATGATCAGCCCGATTGAACAGATAGTTTTCGAAATATTGGCGCTCAAAGGAAGCTTTCCGATTTCATTGCCAATAGTTGCACTCCGGTAGGCTACTACGTCTCAATTCTTCAAAATTCACGAATTTCCACCACAGATTCGTTCATTTCGACATCGAATTAAGTTAATACCAACAAGTGTCCAGATCGCACTTACATCAGAAACATTGTTTTAGAAATATTATTGTTTGGCCTACTTCAAGTACCTTATTTCACTACCGTTGGGAAAAATGTTTTTGTCACAATCGACTTTTTTTCAAGAAAACTATTTACTTGGTCGAATTTTTTCTGTGTAGGCACCCTGTCCCAGCAAACTTCTCAAAGACTGAATAATATGATAGGTCGATAGGGTTCATTGGCAGATCAGACGAAAATTAATATGAAAATAAACAAAAGAGATACTCTATCTCCATACATTTGAATGCTGGTAGGAAGTTCTTCGATAAAAAATATAGTGTTTACAAACTACTCACAGATCCGATTTTAGGGGACACTTCTATCTAATCAGTAAAGCACCATTCATCCTGTATGTTATGATGAGCTTGTCAAGTAATAATATAAATATAAACAAGCTATCAGTGAAGGGTTACTTTAGACATAGATCGTTAATCTATGCTTTAGACGACTCGATAATGTACAGGGTATTTCTAAATGTCATGAATATATTGGGGGATGTGAATCCATTGTTTATTTTAGGACTAAAAATTCCTATGGGCATATTATGTCTGGAATTGTTTCGTTTTAAAAGTTTGAAATATGCATCAATTGTTCTGTCCACCATGTATAGTTTTACGGAATAGCGGAACTAGGCATTCTGGAGCGATTTCAGGAATATTGAATTATTCTGTTGATTTGCTATTTTTCGCTCGAATTTCAAAGGAATGAAGTTTATGTTTTCTGCACAACTTCCAAGGAAAGTAAACTTGACATGTATCAATACGAATTTTGTTGCCTGGCAATTTGACGAAGAAAACTGCCTCTGAAAAAATTACGAGTTCGTAGGACGAGTAATTTCACTGGCAGTTATTTGAGTTCAATCACCTAATGAAAACAAAATTCGAATTATAAGTGCCAAGTTTATTTCGACTAAAAAAAAGCTAGAGTGTAATTCGGTAAGACAATTTAATTCATCAAACATTTGTTTATGGCTGGTTGCCATGCTTTCAAAAGATAGGTTCCGTTATTGTCGTTGGAAAAGTTAGAGCACACTTTTTTCTCTGCCATAATGACAAAATCAAGAGGCTTGTGGGATTTTTTTACATGAATTGAATTGTCAATGTATCAAATATTCAAAAATACTGTATTGTTCTCCATTTACCAATGCTTAGGAATTAACTATAATATTTCTGTTAGCTCATGAGATTTGTTTTCATTGCACACAGACGAAAATCTGATATTCAATTGACGAATACATTTTGTGATTATTATCGAAACAATTTTCAACAGTTTTTCAGATAATATCCTCATTAAGAAACAAGATGAATCACATTCAGTGCTTATATAAAATATTATCATAAATTCTTCAGTTTCAAAATACATTCTGTTGGACTCGAATTGATGAGGAATTCCAAAAATTCCCATATGATAGGTATCTACCCCTTCGAATTTCATTGAAACACCAGTGATTTTTATACAGTTGAGTTGGGTTTTTATGACGAATTACCATAGCAACGTATGTACCCACCAGCGTATGAAATCGGAATTTTTTTTATTACGTTTCAATGACAGAATAATGTTTTGACGTCCTGAAATAGTGATTTTGTGCCAAGAACTATTAACTTCTATTAGGTTACCTCATATTATAGCATTAGAGTGCGGGGGTGCGCGGAGAGGGGGAACAGTCTGTGACGTCACTGTTTTCCTGGCGTGTGATTGTAGATTTCGTATTTTGACACTGTCAAATGGTTTGAAAAAAAATTTGAATTTGAATCGGAAAAATTCTCGAATTTGAGACTTTAGTTGAAAACGTGGTGACAAGAAGACTGAAGATACCTTTGAAAGAGGGTGAGAGGCTGTATAATAATATGGTGTATTATTCAAAGCTGATGTGTGAAGTCAAGAGTGAATATAGAACAAAAAAATGTTATGAGAAGCATGTGTTTACAATCATCTGCTCTTGGGCAGCCTCCACATGAGATTCAAATAACTCCAAAGGAAGATGCTGAGCTGTGGAAATGTGAATGTTCCTGTGGAGCAGGCATGTCATTGTTTTGTAAACACATTTTATAGGGACATATTGACAGGTAAGAAGGTGCACTTTTCATCTATCACACACAGGTAAAAAATAAATGAAATCATCTCTCAGCGAGCACAAAAACATCTCAGAGATGTTAAAAGTACGAGATTTCGAGACATTGAACCTCCACTGCGATGTTCTGTTCACACAAAACTACCTTCTCCCTAGTTCTTTTTAAAGCCTTTTCATGGACACAACAAAACATTTTCAACGCGTCTTGGGTAAAAGTGCACTTATCATGCGATGGGGTTTTTTTCACACACGAATTTCATAATGAAAATGTGAACAAACCATTATTTATTAAGATATTTCACTATAAAGTTACAAATTTCACCATCTTTTCCGCCTGTCTTCTGGATCACATTTAGAACAATTTGCCCTTCTTTTTCCATCATTGGACAATTTATATATATCACACAATGTTGGACACATTTTTTTTATTATGTGAGTCAACTAGAAATATGATTTTCTTGTGATTAATCCATGTTTAGTGAAAAAAAGGAAGAATGTCATTTGAAAAAATGGCGTGTGTAATGTCATTCCATAGCAATCTATTGACATTTGACATCTCGTATTTGGATTGCATATTATGGATTAAATGGATTAAATGGCCATCATCTGGTATGCTTGCTCACTAAAGAGGAAAAACTCGCCATAAAAATCATATTTTCTGTTGAATTTTCTATCTTAAAATGTGTCAGTGAAGTACATCATGAGTATATAAAGTGTCCAATGACAAAATAATAAGAGCAAGTACCTGTAAATGCATCCAACACAAGGGGGAAAAGAAGGCAAAATTTCGAACTTTTTCTTGAAATATCTCGATAAATAGTAGTTTGTTCACATTTTCATTATGAAATTCGTGTTTTTCAGACGAAAATACGTAAGTCAAAAAAAAAATTTTCGAAAAAAACCCCATCGCATGATAAGTGCACTTTTACCCGCGTCTTGCGCACATTAAATCGCATTAAATTAAAAATAGATTGAAAATAAAAATATTTTCTTGATATGAAATTACCTTCTTAATCGGTTTCTGTGTTTCTAGTGCTCACTACACACAGACATATAATTGGAAATAGGTTTCCCAATTTCTGAAATGTTTTCCACAATGCATAATTTTGCAACTGCGGAGACGCTGTGTACCTATTGATAAATTCGTACTTTTATATATTGATTACACTGAGGCACCGAACAACACATCTTGCATCTGATGGTCATTATTACAAACTAAATAAGTCTTCTAACACAATAAACCAAATTCCTTTCTGTTCGTTAGCAGCGTGATGTAAGCGTGACACGCTGCAAACGCGAATGCCAATTGCGAACAAGAAGAACAAAATCGAAAACAAATCAGAATTCATCGTATCGTGACGTAAGCATGAGACGTTGTGGTGGGGCAAACAAAGAAAAGGCACAAAAGAACAAAAACAATACTTTCAATATCCTTCTAATGTAAGACCTGTTTGGGAAGTGCATATTACGCCTCAAAAAAACATCCTCATGCCTACATTTCTAAAACATCCCAGAACATACCAGGGATACCTCTCAGTAGGCAAACAAAGAAATGCCACAGAAGAACAAAAACAGTACTTCAATATCCTTCAAAGACCTCTTTGGTCAGTGCATATTACGTCTCAAAATAACATCTTCATGCCAACATTTTCAAAACATCCCAGGGATGTTTGTGCTCGCTGGGCTGCTTTCACGCATGAAATTTTCACGCGCTGTATATCTGTATCCCTCAACGTCAACGTCAGAAAAGAAAAAAACTTCCAATCTTGAGAAACTAATTCGACAATGACAGACCCCTCCAAGCGACCCCTAAATTTCCCCACGTCGCACATCCCCTATCTCCAGAAACACCGAATCTACGAGCTGTTCCACGAAATAGCCAGAGAACTGGTGATAAGGAAGCCAGATGATCATGTGCTCTTCACCAAACAGGTCCTGGTCAATGCTGCCCACAGCAGGGACATAGCCAGAGTTGTCATTTTGCCCTCTCCAAAGGTAAAGTATGAGTATACGGAAGCGTAGAAAGGCCACTGTTGTGTGTATTTTATATTATTTCTCTACATCTTTTTCAATTATAATTCAGAAAGTGTAACTTGTAATTCAGATTAGAGAAATGGGTAATTTTGCACTTATCATGCGATGGGTTTTTTTTCGAAAATTTTTTTTTGGTACTTACGTATTTTTGTCTGAAAATCACGAATTTGATAATGAAAATGTGAACAAACCACTATTTATCGAGATATTTCAAGAAAAAGTTCGAAATTTTGCCTTCTTTTCCCCCTTGTGTTGGATGCATTTACAGGTACTTGCTCTTATTATTTTGTCATTGGACACTTTAAATACTCATGATGTACTTCACTGACACATTTTAAGATAGAAAATTCAACAGGAAATATGATTTTTATGGCGAGTTTTTCCTATTTAGTGAGCAAGCATACCAGATAACGGCCATTTAATCCATATGCAATCCAAATACGAGATGTCAATTGTCAATAGATTGCTTTGGAATGACATTACACACGCCATTATTTCAAATGATATTCTTCCTTCTTTTCACTAAACATGGATATATCACAAGAAAATCATCCTTAGAACATCCATAGGACAACCTGTCAGCAACGCTGAGGGATACCAATTAGATGTCCATAGGATGTCCCAGGGACGTACGAATTATTCTTGAATTTAAATTTTTCTGGGTCCCTCTAGGACCAGATCTTGCATTACTGATTAGGACATCCAGTTGAGTTGATGGTCCGTAGAAGGTCCCCAAAAAGTGTCCCAAGGATGACCAATGGACTTACGTGAAGGACATTGACGAGGAGTACTTATAGCCTACGAGGAATCATTCGTCGGCGAGGTGTAAGTTAACGTCCTCGCAGGGACAACATATTGAAAGTACCGACTGGGACGTCCATAGGACGTTATTTCAGGACATTGGAAGAATACAGTTCATCTACCAATTGGGATATCCGACGGATATCTCTAAGGGACAATCGGAAAATGTCCCTAAGGGACATTTCGATTGTTATACGATCCTGGAAATATAAAGGGCGTCTGTGCAGAGATATTTGAAGGAATGTACCATCAGAGTCATTCCATGGTTGTCTAGAAGGAATTTTATATAAGATCTGAAGTCATGCCAGAATATGTACTACTCGGGACATCCGATGGATATCCCTAAAGGAACGTTTAAAATCATATCCCATCAGGGACATGCCAAGGAGGTCCTTGCATGGACATTCTACAATATGTACCACGTAGGACGTCTAAGGGATGCTATTTCTAGGACATTTGAAATGATGTACCAGCTGTGACATTCCGTGGACGTCCTTACTCGGACATTGCATGAGATGTACAGGGTGGTTCACCATAAATGTCCCCCCTTTTAGCTCACTCATTTTTGAACCGATTTAAACATTTGAAAAATAATCTGAAATGATTTTTCAGAATTTTTTTTTCGTTGCATCAGGAAATACAGCTTGCTCGGAACAAACGATCTACAGAGTACTACTTGATTTTTTCAAATGGAACACCCTGTATTTCATTGTATTTTTATATTCTTCCTGAAGAGCTGATTCCATCAATGTATCACACTTGGGGTCTAGCGGGAACGATTACAGAGATATAGGGTGTTCAAAATCGAGATTTTTCAACTTTAGGATTTTTTTGTGTCGAAACTATTCATTATTGGTGAAAACGGCTTTCATGTCCCCATCTTAACTTTTGATTTACTGTCTACTGACATTTAATTGGAACATTTACAGGGTGGTTCAAGATTCAGAATTCTGATCACCCTGTATCTGTTCCAATTATTAAATGTCAGTAGATAGTAAATCAAAAGTTAAGATGGGGACATAAAAGCCGTTTTGACCAATAATGAATAGTTTCGACACAAAAAAATCCTAAAGTTGAAAAATCTCGATTTTGAACACCCTATATCTCTGTAATCGTTCCCGCAAGACCCCAAGTGTGATACATTGATGGAATCAGCTCTTCAGGAAGAATATAAAAATACAATGAAATACAGGGTGTTCCATTTGAAAAAATCAACTAGTACTCTGTAGATCGTTTGTTCCGAGCACCCTGTATTTTCTGATGTAGCGAAAAAAAACTTTATCGAAAATCATTTAAGATGATACGTGATTTGTACCAAATAGGTACGTCCCTAGGACGTTGTGTGCTATTAGGGTATCTTACTTTCCTAACCTGAAAGATCATAGCATTACCTGTGGACAGGTTCGATAAACCTACATTTTCGGAAAATAGGCACAATATCTACATTATAATACATATTATCATCTACTAAGACAACAAATTCAACAGTGGTGAACTATTGAGGTATAGTTGATTGTTAAGTAAAATGTTAGAATTTCCGATGACTGCTGTCGGAAATCTGCGTACTACGATTGTTGCAACGACTATCCAGTAATATTCATAAAAAATAAGAATGAACATGAAATGCTCCTCATTTGCTTCGAATATGAAAAAATATTTCAGATTGAAATTCATTTTTGTTTAGAAAATGTGTGTGAGTTGGTCAGTGTTGTTTATTTTCGAGTAAATTTGGCGACATACCTGCATGTTTGCATTATGAAAATTTCTCCTACATTAGAAGTGATTCGCAGTGATTTTCGTGCCATTACTGCATATTTTACAGGTGAATATATTAGAGATGAGCAAGGAAATCTCGAGAGTGACCAAACAGGTGGTTGTTACCCAGGAGATGGTCAAGCAGTCTCTGAAAAGCGACGATTTTGACGGGCTTCCATCGGATATCTTGGCTAAATATTTGGCATACTTAGTCCGAACAGAAAACTGCTACTCTTCTGGTATGATTCCTATTATTATATGTTATATTCTTCGTGAACTATGGAGGATTATCATTATTTCAATGGTCGTTTGTTACCTCAAAACAATTTGATGTAGTTCGATGTTTCTGACTGAATCTTTTATATACCGGGTGACACAGGAGACATGTAACAGCCTGTAGTTTTTTTATTTGATACAAATTTGAAATTCACAAGGATTATACAGGGTGTTTCAGTTTTTTGTAGCAGGACTTTAACAGCTTGAAGAAGACATTTTTTCCAAATGAAAAACTCAAATAAACATATATGCGTGGGAGCTTCGTTTCCGATTTACAGGGTGTCAAAGTTTCAGATTTTTTTTTATGTTTTTTGAATTATCTCCTACAATTTTTGGAATAATTGATTGAAATTTGGTACACCTGATACACTTCAAAAACTCAATATTTTAGGCTATTGAGCGTTTTTGTATGCCTACAGGGTGATAGACTTTCAGGGGTCGTACACAATTTAACCCTGTAGAACTTTTTTGCGTGCCGCCTCTGCTTTCAATAGGACATAGATTCAGTTTGTCTCTGCAATTTGGAAAAATTTTGCCCCCATGTATGTTTTTCGAAAACTGTATGGATTTCGAGATGGGAACCACTTCTAAGGGTACTGATAAAATTAGAACTGCCGTTCACGAGATTAAATTACACCTCAACCGTCAGAAGCGACAGTCAAGCGATAAGGATGGACTTCTAGCGATGTATTATAGCGCCTTGACCGTGTGTCATACAGTCCCTGATATCGAAAGTTTAGCCAGTTTCAGTTATACAGGGTGTCCTAGAATTTTCTATAATACAATTTCAGATTTTGCAATCCAGTTAGAGAAGTTTTTTTGAAATAAAAACATTTTTTCTTTGTTGTCCTAGTTTTGATTATAATGGTGTTCAAAAAATTCAACCTAATTTTGCAACTGAATTTCATTTGGTATGGAAGCTTTCGGTCATTCTATTTTCCAATAAAATGTTTGAGAAATGTCAAATAAGTGTGTTTCAGAAATAACGGTTTAATTACAAGTAATTTATTTTTTGCATTTATCTCGAGATCCATACAGTTTTCGAAAAATTTACATAGGGGCAAAAAGTTTCCAAATTGAAAGGACCTGAATCTATGTCCCATTGGAAGCAGGGACGGTACGCAAAAAAGTTCTACAGCGTGAAATTGGGTACGAACCCTGAAAGTCTATCACCCTGTAGGTATTCAAAAACGCTCAATAGCCTCAAATATTGAGTTTTTGAAGTGTATTATGTGTAGCAAATTTCAATCGATTATCTCGAAAATTGTAAAAATCTAAAAAACATAAAAAAAATCTGAAACTTTGACACCCTGTAAATCGGAAACGAAGCTTCCACGCATATATGTTCGTATGAGATTTTCATCTTGAAAAAATGTCTTCTTCAAGCTGTTGAAGTCCTGCTACAAAAAACTGAAACACCCTGTATAATCGATGATGGCGCTTTCCTTGATCCCAATGACAATTTACTTCAACCACCTATTTGCAATCTTCTGGGACCAATAAGGGTATGAAAAATATGTTGATGATATCGTCTAAGTAATGATCCTTGAATTTCTAAGCCTATCAAGCATCGAATTCATGTATTTCAGCAAAATGCAATTTGACAGTCAATAAATGGACAAATATCAAATTGTGATACATAGCTGAATATAGAATTTCAAGGCGAATAAGATATATAGGCTACAGAAATATGCCATTGGAAAAAAAATAGTTGGCTCTACTTCCAATCAAACAGGTGGTTGAAGAAAATCGTCATTGGGTTCAAGGGAAGCGCCATCATTGTAAATTTCAGGATTTGTATCTCTTCAAATAAAAAAAAACTACAGGCTGTAACATGTCTGCTATGTCATTCGGTATAGTCTTACTATCTCGCAAGCAAGAAAGAAAACACAGTTATTTTGAACATCCTGGATAATTTTTTCACTTGAGCTACCAAATGAACCATTATTTCAATTGATTCTCGAATACCAAAGACCTCTGGATAATTTCAATTCCTATTCAGGTTGGATAATGGTTGACTGCCTCAGATCTGAAGCAGATGCCAAAAGCCTTATTCAGCAAGGTATTATTCCCACCCACACTCTCCATTTTATAGCTCCATTCCATCCAGACGTATCAGAGCTACTATACTGCGAGGTGAGATAATAACATGAATTTTATAACTCTTGTTATGCAATATGTACCATTATCTACATTACCCATGCTAGTTAATCAAGAAATTTAGAGAAGGCCTTCTTCAGTGAAGAATTTCATTCTATTTTCTAGTAACCTAAAATAGTTTATACAGGGTGTTTCATTGGGAAAGGTAAATAATTCAACTGTGGATAGGGGTCACTGGGGTGATTTCAAAAAACCCATGGTTAATGGGTCTTCGACTTCTTATAACCGAGATACAGGATGTTTCATCAATTTTATCCATATCTTCATTGTCTCATAACTTTCCAACCAACCTGGATATATTTTTGAAAATTCGTACTCTTGCTCAATCTACCCTGTGGAATTGATTGGGGTAACAACAAAAGATAAAATCCAGATCCGGCTTCACTTAAAATTCACAAATTCTTTCTGCCAGAAAACAACACCCTATACATTCGAATTTCTCATTTTTTTGCCATATCTGAAAAGAACATCAAAATTTCTATTCAACGATGTGCTTTTTATTCGTGCACAGACGATTTTAACTATTCATATTATGTGCTCAAAATATTATTTTTGCTCATTTTGGGGTACAAAACTTTTATCCGTTGCCTGGTTTGCCGAAAACGTCAAATTAACGCTCATCGTGAAAAGCCCTGTATAGTTTTGATGACGGACCTGCAACTAAGTCTGGAACAAAGAACGATATAAAATACTCCTTCTAAATATAATACTCACGTATACTGAATAGGAAGTGATAATATTAATAAATCTCGTCTGATTCCAATTTTGTACCCCAAAATGAGCAAAAATAATATTTTGAGCACCTAATATGAATAGTTAAAATCGTCTGTGCACGAATAAGAAGCACATCGTTGAATAGAAATTTTGATGATCTTTTCAGATATGGCAAAAAAATGAGAAATTCGAATGTATAGGGTGTTGTTTTCTGGCAGAAAGAATTTGTGAATTTTAAGTGAAGCCGGACCTGGATTTTATCTTTTGTTGTTGCCTCAATCAATTCCACAGGATAGATTGAGCAAGTGTACCAATTTTCAAAAATATATACAGGTTGGGTGGAAAGTTATGAGACAATGAAGATATGGACAAAATTGATGAAACATCCTGTATCTCGGTTATAAGAAGTCGAAGACCCATCAACCATGGGCTTTTTGAAATCACCTCAGTGACCCCTATCCACAGTTGAATTATTTACCTTTCCCAACGAAACACCCTGTATAGTTGCATCATAGTGACCGTTGAAATATTTTATTGAATTGCCGCTATTCACTTATAGAAATATAAAATGAAATATAAGTTACAAACTATATTCCAAAATAGAACTGAGAGGGTACCGAATTCAGTAAGTATTATGGAATCTTAGAATGGGTTAGAGTTTTTCTTCATATAATTTTAGTATAGTAGGTATACTAATCTCTATATATATTATCTATGTCTTGATACACCCCCCACAGTGAATCCCTGCTCTGATTGGTGGTTGAGAAATTCGTCACTATTGGGCAGCTGGTTGGTATAGAAGAAGTCTTCAAGATCTAGCGTTCTCAGAAAGTGCCGAATTTTATTATTGAAAAAAGTGGAAAGATAAACATGAAATAGGTTATGTGGCGTTGCCCTGTTTAAAAAAAAAAATCATATACTCTGTAATTCTAAGCTTTAAAGAAAACCTTCATCTACAAGAGACTCACCAGGATAATCATGACCATGATACAAGAAACAAAAAAAACTTGAAACCCAAATTCTGTAGACTAGAAACCTGTCAAGATGGCCCTAGGTGCCTTGCTGTACGTTTTTTTATGTTTTACCTGACTAATTTGAAGAAATGGAAGGTTCAAAATTCATAGGAAATCTCAAGAAATTTTTACTGAAAAGAGCATTTTATTCGTTTGAGTAGTTTCTAAACTATCATTTTGTGTCCTTGTAATTCACTTATTCGATGTTGAATGTGTAGTTTTCAAGACATTTTGGATGCAATTATTTTTTTCAATGGAGAAGTCACTCTCCCTCAATGTATATGACATTCGACCGGTGTAAATACATTTATTGTATAATAACACCAATAAACGATTGATTGATGGATTGATTGATAGTGGAATGCAATAATCCTCCAGGTTAGTGCCCGTTGGCCCGAAACAAGAAGAGTCATCGCCGGATTGAGAAACGTGTTCAAGGGCTCTCTCAGGGAAGTGCATCTGGGCAGAAGGCACGTTGCCGAAGTAGTGATAGAGTGCGTTGAATTGATGAGGACAAGGGCGGCCGTGAAACCGATAACGCCAAGAGTCGTCATATTGGGACCAAGAGGATCAGGTACGTAGAACAACTGAATTTCAGAAGAATCTGTTCACGAATGCAGAGACGTATCTTAATATTTTGGCCCCCCCGCCAAAATCATTTAGGGCCCCCTCGAGACAAACCTTTCCAGTCAGAAGTCCCTTCTTTCCGTGAACTATTAGTTATATGAAATAACCAATAAGCTTCACGATACGCATTATTTTCTTTGGGTGAATAACACAACCATTGTCTTGGAATAATTTGCCCAGCATGACTTTTCTGTGAATAATAAAAATAAGAGAAACTTCTCTTTTGGAAAATGTAGATCTGGTTGAGACGGGCCATTACGAACAATTAACATTTTTATCGTGTTGCTCAATTCTCGGCCACTGAAATTGCCTATATCACAAGGAAATGATTCTTCAATTAATACATCCAGTAATGAATCATCTGACTCAGTTCCATCTCCAGAACATCTCTTTCCAAAGACTCGTTCATCCAACGAACAGTGAGGCTCTGGAACACATTGCCAAGGGAGGTGTTCCCCGAGGCATATAACCTCCAGAAATTTTAGAAGAACACCAATTCCTACTCGAATTCCTACCTTATTACCCTTGGTTCTTCGTGGGAACCAGAAAATAAAAAAAGGAGTTCTCGCATTTAAGTCAGGTATGGGCTCCTCGTGGATTTCAGATATAATACTTTTCATACTCACACATCTGTACCTACAGTTTTTTCGAATGCAGTAGTAGCAGAAGTCTCGTCATTTGCTAAGTAAAAGTTTGATATTATTTCTTTATACCTTCATTTCTCTTCTCCAAACTTTTTTCAATACAAATTGTCACTGACAAAAGCTAGTGAATTTTTCTTCTAGGCTCTCTGATAGGAAAATTCTTTAAACGCAGTGACATTTTGGGGCAAATCATCTGATATAATCTTACCACACGTATATTGGAATAATATTCATATTTTCATTTTATAGAAACGAGGAGAGAAAATCCCAAAAAATCTGGAATAATAGTTTTTCTTCCATAACAATTACAGAGTCAAACATCCATTCTTGTTTCAATTATCATACTGCTACTACTTGATGGACATTTATCATAATATTCAACTGTATTATCCGAAACAGTAGTAGTATTCGTAAAGAACATGATAATGTTGAAATTTTTTGAGCCTCATTTCATGTGTCCATGGTCATTCTCTGAACGGCTTTATTCCTCCGCAGAAGGTCAGTATTCTGTTCAGGGGGATGTTTCTTAGCTGCTCAGGCTCCAAGTATGCAGAGCCTAGGCATATTCTTCTCTGGCGAGCCACTGCGGGACATTCGCAAAGGATGTGTGATGAGGTATCTTTGCCCTCCTCCCATAGTCGACACATTGGGCTGTCAGCCACACCGATAAGGGCCATGTTTCTCCTGAGTCTACGTAGTACTCACTACTTCAGAAATCACACTCAAATTTTGACAATGTACAAAACTTTAGTGAGACCTATCCTCGAGTGTAATAATGCAATATGGAATCCTATTTATGATGAATATAATAAACGAGAGATTAGTAATTTGAATTATCGTTTTTTTCGTCATAGGCGTTATGTTAATTATTATGAAGTGAATCCTGGTTTAAATAAATTGGAACCATTATTCTTGAGACGCGAATTCTCTGACTCGTCTTTTGTATATATTCTGTATATAAACAATCTCACTGACTCAGAATTGTGCTTGTAACAACTATCACTAAATTGTGATCCTCGTATCTCACGAAATCGACTATCATTGTATCCACCACCATATTCAACAAATTAATATTGTAACTCTTCCCTTATCAGATGCATGAATTCATATAACATGATCTGTGACCATGATATTGACATCTTCAACAACAATTTTCTAAGTTCAATCAACAACTCAAGTACAAATTAATTACATCATATGGTAGAGCTGCCACTTGAGGCAGCAATGTACCTTCTCCTACCAGCTACAGATGCGATACAGATGAATTATTGCCCTCTTTGTCATAACGATGCTTCGCGTCAACGGCATTCGCGTGCGGGAAAATATTACTTTCCCGCATTTGTTAGTAAAATTACCATTCTATGCCGATTGAAAAAAAATCAAATGTACCTACTCGAGAACAACTCGTAACCGTTGTTTTTTGTACGTACAGAGAGTACTTCAACAATCTATTAGTGAAGACCCGTATGAATATCTATAGCACGATGACCGACCCTGGAGGTGAATTATTGAAACACAACCACACTTTTTTTATTTGTTTACAGTGGAATCAAATGATTGAAATAGTTTTTCACAATATTTTGGCATACGAATCGTGTTTTCTGCGTTATACATTAATTCAAGCATGCCTTCGCATTGTGCTGTTGTACAATGCACAAAAAATGCAGCGAGAGACGAAGGAATATGATTTTTCAGGTAAATAGTGATCTCACATAGACTTCATTATGAAATGTTGTCATTCCTTATTGATATTCCTTCTGCCGCTTCTGCAATACAAGTTAGTTTATCTTTTGTAGTCTATGTTAATACTGAATAGATTGAAAATGTTTACAACACATACGATCATATTTCGTCAGCATGTCAGACCAGTCCTCCCATTTGATTGCATGAATCCAATCATCTCGCATTATTTTAGAAACTTCACGAGTATTTCTATTAGCTTCTATTGCAGAAATAATTCCGATGAGAAATCAGAGAAATTACCAAATTTCTAAAATCAAAACTATATGTGAGTGACTATAGTAGGTACTTACTTTGTATCATAATGTACCAACTCCTTCGTCTTCTGCTGCAGTTTTTGTGCATTGTTGTACAACAGCACAATGTGATGGCATGAGCGAATTAATGAATAGCCGAAAAATATGATTCCGATGCCAAAATAATTGTGAAGAACTATTCCAATCACTTGTAAACAGATAAGAAAAGTGAGGTTGTGTTTCAATGTTGTGCCTCCAGGGTCGGTCATCTGACAGTTCTTGCACGCAACCCATTGCAGGCAAGAAAACTCAAGCCAAGATCATCGCCCAAGCCCTCGACGTCGTCCACGTCGACTTTGAATACCTGATTTGCCAAGCGTGGACGTCTTCCAGCAAAATAGGGGAGCAGCTGCGAGCCTGCAAGAAGGACGCTTGTCTGCACTCCGACCTCCTCTCGCAGGTCGTCAACAAGAGGATCCTCGAGGAGGATTGCCTCAGGAGAGGATGGGTGCTCACCGGATATCCGTTCACCGATACGGATTTCAAGTACTGTATACCCTGGAAAGTGGAAACGTGGCGCATTCAATGAACTCAATCTCAATGTAAACAACTGGAAGGGAGACTGCCGTTTTCTCGAATCCCAGGCAACCATATGACAAATGATCACGTCACTGTGACGTCCCTAATTGGTGATTTTTCGTCAGAGACGTCACACACCAATTTATGACGTCACTATGACGTACTTCCTATGACGTGAGAATCACGTCATCATCTCGACGTCGAGTGAACGTCACTTAGAAGGGTGAGATAAGACGTTAGTTTCATGACGTTGCAAGGACATCCTGTCGACGTCAATGTTTCCCAGACCATATCTAAACCATGTATACTTATATTGTGAAACCGTTAGTTTTGTGACGTACCTATACATACAGGATGGGCATTTTCAGTGTCGAAAAGTTTTCAGAAAAAATCGTTCTTTCTTTAATTTTACACACATATATAGAAACTTGTACGTCTTGGTTATTTTATATACAGTATGATGCAAATGTATGGAATAAATTCATTATTTCAGAAATGGGCGACATTTGAAGAAATTACAAAAACACGTGAGTTTTAATTTTTGAAACCTCATCTCATGACATTCATATGAGAGATGTTACGTCACCGGTGTTGGAGTAATGACGTAATGGACGGTTTTTTTAACATTGTTCAAGTTTGTGAATCGAAATGAGAGAGAGAAGAAACACAACCTGATTACAACAGAGGAGAAGACTACGGACGGTAGAAAGATAAGGAGACGGTGTACACATCTTGTTATGAGAAGCGTGTGAATGAAGGCGGTAGAGCTTTGGCAGTAAAAAAGCCTAAGTTAGTCTCGACTCTTTGTGATTCGATTCATGTAATAAATATATGTGTTTCACTTTATTCACTGAGAAACATTAGTTTTTATAATTTTTATCTGTAGATACACAATGTATCACCGGTGATACACGTGGCCCATACATGAAAGCAATTAACTGGTGTGCCATGTGGATCACCGGGGATTTTTCACATTTTTTGTAAAAAAAAATATATTTTTATTCTTTTTGTATGTCTCCATATCCAATAAAATTATGAGAAATATATTTGCTTGATTACCACAGCTTGGCCCTTGACGAAGCGCTTCAACTCTGCTATGGTGGCAGTCAACGTGTTAAATACAAACAGGGGTCATGTGACACCTCGTTTGAAAGGTCTCTACTGATCGTCTATCCAATAGTCAAAATTTTGCAAAAGAAGATTGAAATTGAAATGGATTATCATTTGGTTAACTGAATCTTGCAGAGATCTTCTACTGAGAATTGAACATCGAAGGGTCGTCTAGTTGAAAAAATACATCGATAAAAAAGTTCTGAACTCTACTTTTTGGATTTTTTTCGGAAGTCGTCTTGTTTTGAAATGAATTTATTCCACACATTTGCATCATACTGTATATGCTTCTAAAGTCGATAGAAGTATAAAAAGATCAACATACAAGTTTTATCGAAATTATTCATACCCAAAAAGTGAGAGAAAACTCTTCTCAAACTTTGACACCCTGTATATCTAGGAAACCAATTTAGGTATATATGTATATATACAAATGATAATATAGGTGTACCTATATTGAAACCGTCACTTCAATGACGTTGCAGTGACGTATCTATGACTCCTAAAAATCACGTCGGTGTGACGTACCAATTTGGTGAGCTTCGTCATTCAGACAATTTTTCAATAATTTGCTGTTTAGAGTTTTGTTGAATGAGAAATAATGCATGAATATTACTCAACAAAGTGAAGCCAAATTCACCAACATCCTTCTCATTGCTATCAAACCTTGGTTCGCTTACATCTCGCCGACACAAACTACATAATTTTTCAAACAAATACGAGTCCCGACTTTCATGCTGATTGGGATGCGTACTGAGGGATATCGCTGCTGAATAGACGATTGAATGGGCATGACACCGGAGGGACCACCAAGCAGACTCAACAATGCATAATCAATATTATATGTCGAGGTCAGTGGTGATTTTTACACCATGTTCGAGGAACAACGTTTGATCACCAAATTTGAACGTCATTTTGACGTCATTTCGACGTCACAGTTTGGTGAGTGAATGACGTCAATAAACGTGAGTAATATGACGTCATTGGGCTGTGACTTATTCACGTCATTCATCACGTCATTCGACGTCAACTCCTGACGTCACCTTGATCATCCAACTGACGTAAAACGACGGAGTGTATAATCTCTGCGTCACAGAAACGTCATCTGGTTGCCTGGGATAGCACAGAGTGTGTCAGGGGCAGCTGCAACAAAGATAGCTTGTGTTACGGTAAACCTGTCTATTTCACATTCGTGTTGTTTAATAGTGGATTGGTGCATACATTTTCTTTTATCCAATAATTGGAGATCTTTTTTTTTATCTAAACAGGCAAAAAAGTGAAGACAGAACTTAAAATATCAATCTTTATTTCAATCTTTGCTATAAACATTACATTGCATCTCATATAAATATAAATATAATCATTAACATTTACAATGGAATAACATGAATAATCAGACAGATTCATATCTGGTATGAGATTATTCATGCGTTATCAAATTAAATTATAGTTATTGAAATAAACAACAGAATATAAAAAAAAATAAATAAAACAAAAAGCTCATGAAAAGTACATTATGACATGATGAAATGAATTAGTCAATGAGAAATCATTCACTCAGGTTTGATTTTCTCTTTGCAAGAGGATATGTTTCTTGACTTTGATTTTGAATTGGGTGATATTTGTGCAACTTTTGATATCATCAGGTAATTTATTGAATTTTGAGATAGCTCCGTGAGTGAACTTTTTTTGACCAAGTGTAGAATGCTGAGCAGCATCAAAATGAAACAAGTCATATTGTCTAGTATGATGTTCATGAATTTGAGAATTCCTTACCAATATGAAGTTATATTTGAGGTGTTTGTTGATAATATCAAAAGATAAAGTTGATTTGATGGGGTGTCATATGGAAGACGATACAGTACTTTTAATGCTTTTTTATATAGTACAGATATTTTGTTGAAATTATTCTTGGAACATGAACCCCAAATATTTATGAGATAGTTCATTTTACTAAGGATGTGAGAGTATAGAACGGTATTATTATTATTCTTTATTATGTGATATGTTGTGATTCTTCAAAAGGACTGAATTTTGTTGGTGAGAATTGATTGTTGTTGAAAAGGTTTGTGTTTTCGAATTGATAAACAATGGTTATTTATATTGTGTTATTGCCTTTGGGTGCTAAACAAGCAAGACAAACAGAAATTGTCATCCATGCATGGGTGAGTTGATATTGGTCAGATTATTAGAAAAACTATAGTATTTTATTTTCAGGGTGTGGATGTGTGTGTGGATGTTCATAACTTTGTATTCTAAGGACGATGTTTTTCATATAGACATTTGCCTACAACTTCCAGATCCAAAGTTTCAAAGTATGTTGACAATGTCATCCTCAAACTGTTTTATTCAAGAAAGGCCTATATTTTAGTGCAAAGAAACAAAAAGTCAAAAGGAGAATGACAATCTTGATGAGGTTCTAAAAAAACATTTTGAAGGTAAAAACTACAAAAAATTTTAAACTCAAGACCTACATCATAATATTGTCTTTACAGATTTGCGTTTGAAGCTTCTTCTCCAGAAAAGGAAACATGAAAGTGTAGGTACACTCTGGGCGACGCAGATATACATCTTCAATGAAACAATTTGTCCAAACTTTGTACTTTTATTCACCTTCTATTCACCTTTCATTCACCTTCTAATACTGAAATGTTTATGGAAAAATAGGTACTCCTGAAAATCATGCTCAATACTCAATACATACTGTTCAAGAACCTCTTTCCGAATATTTTCTATTGTTTTTTTTCTGATAGTGCTGAGACGAGCTTCGCTCACCCTATACAATATATTGTGACATTTGAAAGAGAATATGAAATTTCAATTTTGTATTCATCTGACTGCCTAATCCTGTAACAATAAAAATGGAATTTCACATTCAAGTCAATAAAAAAGTCAATAAATATTCTCGAATAATAATTGATTGCAACATCATCCTTTTTCTTAAATGAATATTTATATTCGATCACGTTTAATCTTAAATAGAAGCAAAAAAACGAGAAAATATTTCAAATAATGCGAGCGCATCCCATTAGCCAACATAAGATAGAGATAGGTATCCGTAACCACTGCGGGTTGCCTGAACAATATTTTTGCCTCACTTGTCGTTCACAGAGGATCCCTTCCAGGTTTTTATTGAGTCGCATCTGAGATGGAATAGTATAGTACAGGCTGTCACATTCTTGATGTCCTTAATACGGAATATCTCACTCATTTTTGAAGATGGGGATTTGCGGTTTTCCCTAACGTTGGCTACTTTTTGTGAAACTCACGATACCGATAAGAATGTTGCATTTTGGGACCTCCCTATATCTCAGCTATCGCAGTTTAATATACTTGCAAGTCATCACCATCCCACCAAAAAATCCAAGATTTTTCAATCAGCTCAAAATTCTACTTTATTGCTATTTTTCGCTGCGAAACATTGGTCCTTCGAGCCGGATTCGTAGGTAAAAACTTAACGACTAATCATTGCGTATTTATTTGAAAAACATTTACTTTCAAGATACTTGGACAGCCTAGACACCCCACCCAACCGAGTAATCTTCCTCGAGTGCGACCTGAACGTATGCAAAGAGCGCCTGCGCCACAGAAAGGTCAACGTCCACACGGGCTCCCAGACCGACGTGAAGCAGTTTCCTGAGGCGGAGGTCGAGAAAATCCTGCTGACCCATCCCAAGGACGATCTCGAGATGATAGATGCCGAACTGGAGTGGTACTGCAGGAATTACGGGCCTCTCAGGAAGTACTGCGGCGGTAAGAAGCTCTATATCAATATTTCAGCGGGCCCGCGTCGTAAAATTTACGACAAAACCCCTCATAATATGTAAAAACTTCAAAAACGATAAGGCCCTCCGCACACGAGTCGATATCTTATATTTCCAATTTATACTCTAAAATTTAGGAACTGTTTGATTTTTTGAAATATATGAATCTTACATCAATGTTATTAGTATGCGTTCTTTTGCGCAGACACATTCCCTCATATTTGTATCCATATAATTTATGGCTGGAGCAAGAGTTTCCACTAGATCAATTTATGATTCCTTCGACATTCTATAAAATGCCAGAAATTTTGTGTCACTCTCTTGCATTTCACGTGCAGCAACAAAAAGTCGATTGTGAAAATTTCGTGCAATGTACGGATGCACCCATAAACTTCGTTGTCTTCTTCTTCTCCTGATCTGCCGGTGCCACAAAAACATGAATATGTCCTCCTCGTCACTGGAACTGCTCATTTTTAGCGAAAACTTTCTTTTTGGAGTTGCAAAAAAGAGAGTAACTAAGTTGATCAGACGCGAGTCGACTACACAAAACGTCGACTCATATGCGGAGGACACACATTCCCTTTTTAGTCTAGTCGAAAAATCCAAAAAAGGCCTCCATTAAAATTTCAGAAGCATTTCGTATTACTTTTTGGCAAAGGGTGTTTTTCTACTATTTCGACCCTGCTGACTACGAAAATGCCGGTTGCCAAAGCGAAATCGCAACCGGAAGTGAGATATTCAAGATGGCGTCCGAAATGACATCAAAACAGAATGTTGCTGCTAAATCTCCCTTGTTTGAGGTAGGAACGCGACCAAAGGGTTTCTTTATATGTTTTCAGACATGAAGAAAACAAAAACACACAAACTAAACTCGTTCGTTGAATATAATTTCTAATAAATATGAGAAAAGCGGTCAAAGTTGCCCTTTTTGGTTTATAGCAAACAATATACTTTGACTAATGTATTATATCGTTCTATGCACATTTGAGACATTTAATGTAACACTTAAAACAAAAGGTATTTCTTTAGAAAGAAGTGAAATTATTGTGTGTCTCCAGAGTTCAGGCAAGAACGTTTACAGGGAGTGCACAGTTTGATGCAAGAGACATTGGCTTTTCAACAACTGCAATTTTTTGTATTACAATGTCCTTTGCAATGACAGACAACTATTTCTAGGCACGTCTTAGGAATGGGATCCAGTGTTATTAAACGAGGAACAACTTGTTCTCTCTGCACAATCCAGCCACAGTCCTGCAGCCTAGGTAGTGACGGTTTGGGGATATGCGCATTCTCCCAAACACACACCTGAGATAAAAAAATATATATATTATATTCATTTCGTTTTCATTTCTGTCAATTTGCGTTTTAGGTACGCTTACCTGGTAGTTGCATCTCTTAATATGGAGACGAAGTGCATCAGTTGTCGGTGGGAGAAATCCTGGCTTTCTTACAGCTCCAAATAAATAACTTCGGGCATCGTTTGAGCATGTGATGCTGGAATCAACCTGTATGAAATCAGAATTTCTGTGTGTACTTCATTTTAATTCAATATCATCTGGAAGATATTTAAGTGTAAGCATTTTTACCTTATACAGTTTGACGACAAATTTCTCGACATTGCTAAGGACGTCCTCCTCAAGTGGCGACTGTCCGAGGCGTCCCAGAAGCTCTCAGTTTGTCCCAGAAAAAGCCTTCCATGCTCCAACTTTCGTGATAGACGCCAACTTAGACGTCGAATCGCAGCCGGTTATTGCATGAAAAGCAAGAAGATGCGAGACTTGTTCCGGCATAAGCTTTCTGCATATATCATGTACAGGAATGTACTTGGTGTCACGTGCAGTGCCACTCATTACCCACAAATGGGAGCATTTCATTTTAGCGAAGTGGTAGATAAGAAGAAGAACAACGTCGGTGTCCCTCGTCATCACAACAACGTTATGAGCTGTGGTGTGAACGGCATGAAGAACCAAGCGCGTGTCAGCTTCCTCGTGTGATGATTTCAGGCAATCAACATTCCGACGCAAATTCGTGGACTGAGCATGTTCTTCCTCAGTGAAGCCGCCGGAGATAACTACTTCAAGATCGCCAAAGTTATGTTGCATAATTCTCTCGGACAAAAACCTGCATAAATCAGTTTTGTTTTCTGATAAAAACAAGAAGTTACTCCAGTTCTTTGGCAGCGGCACGTTGCAGTCCTCAATGTCTCTGCGCACGAAAGTTGGAGCATGGAAGGCTTTTTCTGGGACAAACTGCGAGCTTCTGGGACGCCTCGGACAGTCGCCACTTGAGGAGGACGTCCTTAGCAATGTCGAGAAATTTGTCGTCAAACTGTATAAGGTAAAAATGCTTACACTTAAATATCTTCCAGATGATATTGAATTAAAATGAAGTACACACAGAAATTCTGATTTTATACAGGTTGATTCTAGCATCACATGCTCGAACGATGCCCAAAGTTATTTATTTGGAGCTGTAAGAAAGCCAGAATTTCTCCCACCGACAACTGATGCACTTCGTCTCCATATTAAGAGATGCAAAAACGCAAATTGACAGAAATGAAAACGAAATGAATATAATATATAATATATATTTTTATCTCAGGTGTGTGTTTGGGAGAATGCGCATATCCCCAAACCGTCACTACCTAGGCTGCAGGACTGTGGCTGGATTGTGCAGAGAGAACAAGTTGTTCCTCGTTTAATAACACTGGATCCCATTCCTAAGACGTGCCCAGAAATAGTTGTCTGTCATTGCAAAGGACATTGTAATACAAAAAAATTGCAGTTGTAGAAAAGCCAATGTCTCTTGCATCAAACTGTGCACTCCCTGTAAACGTTCTTGCCTGAACTCTGGAGACACACAATAATTTCAATTCTCTCTAAAGAAATACCTTTTGTTTTAAGTGTAACATTAAATGTCTCAAATGTGCATAGAACGATATAATACATTAGTCAAAGTATATTGTTTGCAAAAAACCAAAAAGGGCAACTTTGACCGCTTTTGTCATATTTTTTAGAAATTATATTCAACGAACGAGTTTAGTTTGTGTGTTTTTGTTTTCTTCATGTCTGAAAACATATAAAGAGACCCTTTGGTCGCGTTCCTGCCTCAAACAAGGGAGATTTAGCAGCAAAATTCTGTTTTGATGCCATTTCGGACGCCATCTTGAAAATCTCACTTCCGGTTGCGATTTCACTTTGGCAACCGGCATTTACGAATTCAGCAGGGTCGAAATAGTAGAAAAACACCCTTTACCAAAAAGTAATACGAAATGCTTCTTAAAGTTCAATATCCCAAAAATTTGTCTAGTCTATTTCTTGAATCGTACGAATGCAGAAATTGTGACGTCATTGCAATCGCGTCGCCCATGTCGCCGATCGACCCGTAGGACCTAAGATGTCCATAAAATTCTCGAACACACGACATGTTTCGCTAACACAGTTGCTTCGTCAGGTGATATACTGGTACAATGATCTAAACTAACCTGGATCCCTTAACTTTTATATATCTTTCTTTCCCAACTTGCAGGGTTAGTTACCTGTGGACAGGTTCGATGAACCTTCATTTCCAGAAATTAGGCACAATTTCTATATTGAAATACGGTGTACCGGATCAACTTGAAATGGTTGATAGCAAATACATATTATTAATACCTACTGAGAAAACAAATTCAACAGTGGTGACTATTGAGGTCTAACTGATCGTTAAGTAAAATGTCAGAAATTTTGAGTTTGTTGATTTCTAATGATTCAATCATGTTGTTTCATTTCGCAGAAATTACTTCAAAAACTACCCATCCAGGACTCATGATTCAACACTTATAAGAATGAAATAGGTACCTACCTTAGTAAATGATTTACGCAAACAAATATATAGGTAAGTATATAGATACCTACTTTTATCAATATAGATAAACCCTAATAGCACACAACGTCCTAGGGACGTCCCTTTCTGGTACAATTCTCGTCCGAATGTCCCGAACCAAAAATAAGTGTCCTTGGGACGTCCCATCCCGTACATCTCATGCAATGTCCGAGCAAGGACGTCCACGGAATGTCCCAGCTGGTACATCATTTCAAATGTCCTAGAAATAGCATCCCTTAGACGTCCCACGTGGTACATATTGTAGAATGTCCATGCAAGGACGTCCTTGGCATGTCCCTGATGGAATATGATTTTAAACGTTCCTTTAGGGACATCCATCGGATGTCCCGAGTAGTACATATTCTGGCATGACTTCAGATCTTATATAATGTCCCTTCTAGACAACCATGAAATGTCCCTGACGGTACATTCCCTCAAATATCTCTGCACAGACGCCCTCAATATTTCCATGATCGTATAACAATCGAAATTGTCCCTTAGGGACATCCTTCGAATGTCCCTTAGGGAGATCCGTTGGATGTCCCAATTGGTACATGAACTTTACTCTTACAATGTCCTAGAAATAACGTCCTATATATGGACGTCCCAGTCGGTACTTTCAATATGTTGTACCTGCGAGGACGTTTACTCACACCTCGCCGACGAATGATTGCTTGTAGGCTATAAGTACTCCTCGTCAATGTCCTTCACGTAAGTTCATTGGACATCCGTGGGAAACTTTTTGGGGACCTTCTACGGACCATCAACTCAACTGGATGTCCTAATCAGTTATGCAAGATCTGGTCCTAGAGTGACCCAGAAAAATTCAAATTCAAGAATAATTCGTACGTCCCTGGGACATCCTATGGACATCCAATTAATATCCCTCAGCGTTGCTGATAGGTTGTCCTATGGATGTCCTAAGGATGTCCTCTGTAGTGCTTAATGAGGAATACTGTAGGATTAAGGCGTCCAATGGACGTCCACGGTACCAAATTCGAACGTCCTATGGACGTCCTGAATGTGCCGACAGGACGTCCTAAGGATATCCATGGGACATAAGTGTGTTATTAGGGAAGGTATAATCGACATGGATAGAACTACGTGGTAAAATATGTAGAACAACTATTTATAAAAAAAAACACCTGATATAGGTATCTCGAAAACAGACACGAAAGATTCAAAAATGTTTTAATGCATACCAATACGGTTTTGCCAGGTGCCTTCAAGTTTCATATTAGCGCGCCACACCAAGACATGCGGATGATTTTATCGCTTATATTTTTTCCATGAATTTGCCTTCCGCTTAGACGTGTTCGTTTTGAATCAATCTGTAAATCAGAAGCAGCAGATATAACTGTTTCATTAAATACAATAAAATATTTATAACAATGTTTTCCTCTTTCTTCCACTAAAGATAAAGTGTCTTTTACTGTTTCAGATCAGTTTTTGGATTCAATGTTGATTTTCGTATGTATAATAGGCGAATCAAAGGTTGCATAAAATACCATTAAACAGGGTGTCCCAAAATTGCTGAGACACAGGGCTACCACGTGTATATATTACAGTTCAAAATGAGTTGATTGGACCCAACTTATTTATATAAAGAAATGTACCGTTTCTTCAAATTTTGCATAGAAAAACACATTTTTGTACGCTATTCAAAAATGAGTAAAGCAAATTGGATGAAATTTAACAGGTCTCGAGAAGAAGGAAATACACCCTTGAAAGCCTAAATCACTACACAAATAATGAGAACAATGGGCTGAAGCAGACGTAGAATCTCTGGCTGACTGACGCCAAGTTGGTTAATCAATCTTGAATATATGTTCCCAATCTGACGTAGTGCTGCTATTGTTTCGTTGTTTCATTATTATTTACTATTCCATGTCTTGAGACATTCTTTTCGTGATCTGGTTGACATGACATGATGGCTGTCATGTTCCTTTTTGACAACTCAATTTTTACGGTTTTATTACACGTGATTTGACTTTATCATTTCACAGGTTAACTTTGAGACTCCATCAAACTCTGTTTGATTTTTCATATGTGTGATTGTCACCTTTGGCAATTTAAGGGCACGTGGGCCCTAAAATTGATAACCCGACCTTTACCATAATTTAAAAAAAAATAATGTTTTTATAAAAAAAACATAATTTTATTATACCTATAGTAAGTTTCAATTTTTTCTCTCTTACATCATCTGAACCATTGTTTTCCAGATCATATGTCTTTGTCTTGTGCCATTTTATTGTCTAAATTATCAAAAAGTTCAACTTTTTCATTTCCATGTAAGTATGTATTCATTGTATCTACCCTAACAACACGAGTACATCCTAGGGACTTTCCAGGGACTTCCCTAATTTCAAACTAGCACATCCCAGGGATATCCTTTTTGGGACAAAGTACATATTAGGGACGTCCGAGGGACATCCGCTTTCAGACAAAAAGGACATCCAAGGGATGTCCCTTCTGGTACGTCCCTGGGATGTAATGAGTACGAAGAAGTGATATCCCTAAGACGTCCCAAGAATATCCCAGGGACATTCCTGCGCCAGAAAAAAAAAATGTAGGTTGAGTAGGGATTGAGCCCGGGACCTTCAGCTTATCAGGCACACACCTTACTCCATTGGCTAATATGCCTTCTGAAGATGCATGTATTGAACAGATTCATAAACAGGATTAAACTACAAAAACCTGAATTAATAAAACTTTGTCAGGATTTGGGTATAATTATTATCATTTTTGGGTACTTGAAAATGAGGGGCATTATGCATTCACGATTTCTGTTTGCGAAAAATAGTCATTCCTTGAGAAGTTTTGACACTATATTGTTTATTTTCATTACAAATATTTTTCAGAAAAAAATTCCGAAAAAATTCGACTCAATATTTTGATGAAATTCAATGACTCTCTGATGTGATTGTGATTGATTGATTGATTTGATTAAACATCTACCTTTATGTGATCTATCTCTGATCGTCAAATAAATGTTGTGGAGATGACTTTGGGTTTCTTCATCTATGAAATTCGTCTCGTGGGTGATGCATCGCTCACAAACTCACTCACTTCTCTGGAACACCGTAGAAAAGTTGGCGATCTGGCTCTATTTCATAGATATTCTCATGGACGATGCTCTTCTGGAATATCAACAATTGTTCCTCCATTGGCAGTCCCCGCGAGATTAACCCGTCGAGTTGAGGCTTCGCACCCCTTCGTGGTCACTTTGGAGACCTGCAGAACATCTCTTTCCAAAGACTCTTTCATCCAACGAGCAGCGAGGCTCTGGAATACATTGCCAAGGGAGGTGTTCTCCGAGGCATATAACCTCCAGAAATTTGAGAAGGACACTAATTCCTACTTTATTTCCCTTGGTTCTCACGATGTTCTCTGAACATTACAGGATATCCCTTTTCGTGGGAACCAGAACATAAAAAAAATTACACTCTTCTTCCTTTCTCAGGCACAGCCAGCGTCGTGAACGGCGACCAGAACGAGCGATGGGTGAACGAGTGCGTCTGCGCAGTCATCCTGAAAGGACCGCTCGGAGCGCCGCCGCGACGCGGGTTGGCCGACGTCGAGGAGCGCTCCTCGGACGACTCTGCGGACGATTGCGCATGTCTGTCGGAGGTGCCGTCCAAGATCCTCGATTCTTTCATACTCAAAGTTTGAGTTATTTAATGGAATTTACATCGTTTGTCAGAATTCACGAACGTGTGGAATAAATGAAAACATGGTGTTTGTTTTTCGTTTTTCTGCTCCAAATTCAATCATTATTAGTATTAAATGAGGTAGTTACGATTAGAGTTCTTAAATGTACTTGACACTGCTGTTTTGACGTTGTTTGTATATAGGTCGCGTGCACGATGACCGACCCTGGAGGCAAAATATTGGAACACAACCTCATTCTTCTGTGAATTATTGAAACACAACCTCACTTTTTTATTTGGTTACAGAGAAATCGAAGGAATAATAAAGTTTTTCACAATATTATTATGGCAAACGAATCGTGTTTTTTCGCTAGTCATTAATTCAAGCATGCCTTCGCATTGTCCTGTTGTAGAATACACAAAAAGTGCAGCGAGAGACGAAGGAATATGATTTTTCAGGTAAATAGTAATCTCACATATCTCATTATGAAATGTTGTCATTCCTTATCAAAATTCCTCCTGCCACTTCTGCAATACAAGCTAATACTGCTAATAGATTGAAAATGTCTACAACACACACAATCATATTTCCTCAGCATGTCAGACCAGTCCTCCCGTTCGATTGCATGAATCTAATCTTTTTGCATTATTTCAGGAATTTCATGTGTATTTCTATCAGCTCCTATTGCAGAAGGAATTCCGATGAGAAATCAGAGAAATTACCAAATTTCAAAAATGAAAACTATATGTGAGTGACTATAGTAGGTACTTACTTTTAAAACATAATGTACCAACAGGATTCCTTAGTCTTCTGCTGCAGTTTTTGTGCATTGTACAATAGCACAATGTGATGGCATGAGCGAATTAATGAAAAGCCAAAAAATACGATTTGTATGCCAAAATAATTGTGGAAAACTATTTCGATCACTTGTAAACAAATAAAAAAAGTGAGGTTGTGTTTCAATGTTGTGCCTCCTGGGTCGGTCATCTGACAGTTCTTGCACGCAACCCATCAGAGTACGGACACTAGACAAGCAGTGACAATCAAACATAACCACAAACGATTTTGAAGTGGATCAAATGTTTTGCCAGACGAGAATATGTTTTCCGCTTAGATAAAGGATCCTCGCATCTTCCTTCCTCCACAAGTCCTGGGAAGAGTACATCCAGATAACTTTCTCTGTCTTTGATTTTTGTATGAGAGTGCATAACGTCTCCTCGAGTGGGTAAAAGGGTACGATTAATTGATTAGAAAACTATTTCTTCTCTAAATATTGAATAGTGTGTCTCAATGTCTAAAATTATTAGGTTCATTCTTCATTTCAATTGAATACTTAATAATTGATAAACAATACTCCCCATACATCAAGTTGTATGAAAATATAAATGACGTTTTCAATATCCAAGAAACAAGTTGACAAAATAAATCCTCAATACCCTTCTGAAGGGCATATTTTATGTTCATTGAAAGAACCATTATCCTTTTTTCAAGTTTCACTGATTCTAGAAATATTTTATATTGGTAGGTACTTGGTCACCATGTTTATTTGTATCGTCCTGAGAAAATCTTCAAACTTTACTTTTGATACTCTGTTATTTACGTCCGATTAATGGAATGTTTCATGAAAAAAGTGGGCTGTTTATCGTATCGAGATCGAGAAAAAAATTGTGAATCATTCGATTACAGAACACTGTTCTGAGAACAGTCGAGTCCATTATCAGTATATCATTTACTACGCAAGTGTGTGTATGTGTGGTGAAAACTGACTGTTAAATTATTTGAAATTGAATTTTAAAACATTGAAAAGTGTACCCATAGTGAGGAAATAAGGATGCCGGTGAGTTGATATCAATGTTTTCAGATCAAATTCGACACCAATTCTTATATGGTTTTCATCTCGGTTTTCATATTTTTTGCTTGCGGATCTACAAGAGTTCCGAATCTTATAAAGATTCTGATTTTTAGCTGGAAATTTCAATTTCCTTTCCAAAATTTCTACTTCAGAGTGAAAAATTCGCCATTTATATCGAAATCTCAACTTTTATCTCGAACGTTTCGACTTTCATTACCAAAATTCCTACTTTCTCGAAATTTCGAAATTTTATTTGAATGTGAATTTCCAGAACACGTGTTCAAAAATCTATTGGCCAATAAAAGTAATTCTACAGTGTGTGATCCTAAGATGGAATATTTCAAAAAAGTTTTTTATTCACTTGACAATTTTTGGTAAAATAGCATATTTATCATGCAGTGGTTTTTTTTTCGAAAATATTTTTTGGTACTAACGTATTTCAGTCTGAAAAACACTATTTTAATAATAAAAATGTGAACAAGCCACTATTTATCGAGATATTTCGAGAAAAAGTTCGAAATTTTGCCTTCTTTCTCCCCTTGTGTTGGATGCATTTACAGCTACATGCTATTCTTATTTTGGACACTTTATATATTCATGATGTACTTCAATGGCACATTTTAAGATAGAAAATACACTAGGAAATATAAAAAGTCCATGTGTGATATATTTTTGAATGCAGCTTTCCATGGAGATTCCAAAAATTGAATAATATATAGGGTGTTCATTCGGAAACATTGTCACGGACGTCATTAGTCTTACGTGGATCACCCTGTATATTTGATTTACCATTATGATTATGGCAAATTGAGATTGAAAATCGACCTATTTCAGGAAATTCCTCAGAAATATAGATAGTTTGGCTGAAAATGAACCAATATTGAGTTTATTGGTACACACTGAATGTTTCTTTCACGAAAAAAAACCTGTGTTATGACCCTCCATGATTTTCAGTGTATTTGTAGGATCAAGTCGTACAATTCGAGTGGAGTGACAATATGAAACCCCAACTTTCTATCGAAGGGCATGCTTCATTGCGAAAAAAGCATTATCATTTTTCAAGTTTTACTGATTTTATATAATATTCTACATTGGCACGTGGTCATGCACCATGTGTATTTGTATCGTCCTGAAAATCATCAAATTTTAGTTTTGACACCCTGTTACCTACGTCCGATTGATGGAATGTGGCATAAAAAAAGTGAAGATTGTTTATCGTTTCGAAAAAACCGGCATAAAGTTGTGAACATGAATCATTCGGTTTGCCTGTTCGGCAGGAATTTGTAATCAGTTAAACGTTTACTAAGCTGTTGTTTGTATGTGTGTGTGAAAACTGGTTCTTTCATTGTTTCCAAAAATTTGGTTTTTCGAACATTGAAAAGTGTACTCAATTTGAGGATAGGATGTCGGTGAGTTAATTTCACTGTTTTGAATCAAATTCTATGTTTTTTTTGTTTCAAAATCAGACATTATTCAATTACAATCTTGATGATTTCAATCACAATAGGGGTCTACTTATATCAATTCTCTACAAATGCATAGAACTGCCACAGGCCTTTTTTTTTCTACACGGCTATGATATAAAATTGTTCCTGTTTTAGTAGATGCAAATTTCCGCACAGGAAAGTGCCATTTTTCAATCATTTTGCTCAGGATAGTGATTGGCACAGGTGCCGTTCGATAAAGTACATTGGTTTTACATGCCTTTGACACATACAGTGTGTTTCTGCTAAAACTTGTCACCCCCTAAATATCCGATGTCGTTAAAAAAATTGAAAATTGCTCGAACAGGTCGATTTCAATTTGGCGGTAGACACATTTTTCTGCAATTATCATATTCTAAAGTTGAAACCTTGGAGCGTAACGGGCATCATGTTTCGATTTTCAAATGGAACACCCTGTATTTCATTGCATTTTTAGATTATTCCTCAAGATCTGCTTCTATCAATGTATCACAGTTGGTGTCTAGCGGGAATATGATTACAGAGATGTAGGGTGTATTTAAAATCGAGATTTTTCAACTTTAGGATTTTTTTGTGTCGAAACTATTCATTATCGGTCAAAACGGCTTTCATGTCCCTATCTCAACTTTTGATTTACTATCTACTGACATTTAATTGGAACCAATACCTACAGGGTGGTTCAAGATTCAGAATTCTGATCACCCTGTATCTGTTCCAATTGACGAGTATATAAGGTGTCCAATGACAAAATAATAAGAGCAAGTACCTGTAAATGCATCCAACACAAGAGGGAAAAGAAGGCAAAATTTCGAACTTTTTCTTGAAATATCTCGATAAATAGTGGTTTGTTCACATTTTCATTATGAAATTCGTGTTTTTCAGACGAAAATACGTAAGTATCAAAAAAATTTTTCGAAAAAAACCCCATCGCATGATAAGTGCACTTTTACCGCCGTTTTGACTGATAATGGATAGTTTACGACACAAATAAGTCCTAAAGTTAAATAATTTTGATTTTGAACACCCTATATCTCTGTAATCAATCCCGCTAGGCACCAAGTGTGAAACATTGATGAGAGCAGCTCTCCAGGAATAATCTAAAAATGTAATGAAATAAATACAGGGTGTTCCATATGAAAATCGAAAGATGATGCCCGTAACGCTTCAAGGTTTCAACTTTGGAATATAATAATTGCAGTAAAATGTGTCCCCTGCCAAATTATAATCGACCTGTTCGAGCAATTTTCAATTTTTTTAACGACATCGGATATGTAGGGGGTGACAAGTTTTAGCTGAGACACACTGTATATGCCAAAGGCATGTAAAACCAAGGTAGTTCATCGAACGGCACCTGTGCCAATTACTATCCTAAGCAGAATGATTGAAAAATCGCACTTTCCTGTGCGGAAATTTGCACTCGATTTCGCGAATTCTGAATCTTGAACCACCCTGTATTTGTTGCAATTAAATGTCAGTAGATAGTAAATCAAAAGTAGAGATAGGGACATGAGAGCTGTTTTGACCGATAATGAATAGTTTCGACACAAAAAATCCTAAAGTTGAAAAATCTCGATTTTGAACACCCTATATCTCTGTAATCATTCCCGCTAGACACCAAGTGTGATACATTGATGGAAGCAGCTCTTCAGGAATAATCTAAGAATGCAATGAAATACAGGGTGTTCCATTTGAAAATCGAAAGATGATGCCCGTTACGCTTCAAGGTGGTGACAAGTTCTAGCTGGGACACACTGTATATCATTTCGTTATCAG